TTGTAACTAGCTCCATGGTGACTAGCCTTTAGCTTATTTATCAGGTTAGATCTAATCTTGTTTGCTGCAAATCGGGGTCATGTAAACAACTCTCCACATCAGGTGAGACATTAATTGTTCATGACCTTCTTCCAAACATCTGTTTTATCTTCAACCAGATGTGCGTTTGAGGTGTTTGGTGATCATTGGACTTTGGTCTGTCCACTGCTCCCAGATTAGCTCTCCTAGTTAAATTGGTTTGAGATTTGGCTTGGGAGCTTAGCCAAGGAGATGGGAGTGTGATGAATAATCCCAAACAGAAGCCAGTGTTTGAACACAGCTGACACTGTGCCAGACTGCTTAAAGGTGACAGACACACCTGTTGCTCAAGTTTTCTCCTGAGAGCAGGGATGCTTCATACAAGCTATTTACACTCCAATCCACTCGCTGTATGTGTGAAGTAAACATATGTGCATATTTTTAAATGTGTGTACACGCTTTTAAGGAAACACGAGTGTCTCTTCTGACAGGTATCACTGCTTCTGCTCACATGGATCGTTATCCTCGGCCTTGACTCGCTAACCTTTGAGAACGATCGTGCTGGGCGTCCTCCTCCTCCTCCACCCTTCATCTACAATAGAGGTCAACGACCTTTAAACCTTGCCGCCCACCACTTACACCCACAGTTCCTCAGCCAGGCCTGGCTTTCTCCCTGTTAGAGCGTTAAGGCTGCTCCTTCTTTAAAGGCGGGCCCCGAGCACAAATGCAACAGATTGCACAGCGTCGGGTTTTTGGAGCAGAGTGTGGAACATCCCAGAGTCGTCCTGGAGATGTGAAAGCCTGTCCTGAAGCTGGATGCCCTCGTGATTCATTTCATTCTTTCCTTTCTGTAATCACTCACCCAAACGTCTGGCTGTGAGTTCATCTGAAACTATTTTCAGAGGTGAAGAAATTGACAAAGGTGGAATGGAGTTTTAATTTTCCGCATAAGTCTTCAGCCCACTCAGTGATATTTTCACATAACTTGAAG